GGGTGCACGGAGGAGCACGCCCACGCCAGCGCGCCACGCCGCCCGGCGACCGGCCTCCCGCAGCCGCGCCCCTCGCCTTCCCTCTCTCCGCGCCGGCGAGGGAAACTTTGCCTCTTCCCCAGCCCTGGCCTCCTTTCCCTCGCCTGCCACTCTGGACTTGGAGGACGGTACGCTTCAAGGTGAAGGCAGCACACCTCCCTCCACCCCAGCGTTTGATGGACACGGGGAGCCCGGCCTCCAGGCTGCGGAGGTCCTTTGGAGGTGTTGCCAGGACGAAGGATGTGCCGGTGTTGGAGATTTACTGACTGTCAGGGAACGAGTTGGAAGGGCTCTGGTTATCTAGGGTCCTCTGCTTACCCTGCCTGGCTCCTCCCTTCTGCCCCGGGTTTTGTATTCTGAGCACCAATGTTCCTGTGCTGGAAAGAGGCAAGATACCTGCCTGACCCATGAAAATTGAATAACTACACTTCTTTACCCCTGGGCTAACGATGGTTTGTGTCCGGGCCTCGATTTGTAGACTATGCGGAAGAGGCCTTTTAGCTCCAGTCCTCATAGTATTGCGTGTGCCTAGTGTGTCCCCACCTTCTTACCAGTCCTGGGGAGGAAAGGGCCATCAGAAAAAGCTTGCCTTGTGGGAGACCTGGCGCTGGTGATTTCCAACAGTCAAGACTGACTCTGTAGGCTAGCACTCGTGAACCCAGCCAACAGGGACTGCCAGGCAGTCCAGCTCCTGCCTTCTGTGAGTGCTTCTAAAAGATTATCCCAAGGACACTCGGCCCAGACAACAAACAGTTGATACCTCATTAAACTTTGACATGAAAACTGTTATTGTCCCAGGTTTACTGCTGAGATAAACTGGGCCTTTCTTTTCTTCAGAGATTTGCAAATGTAGGGTGCAAGAGAGAGAACCAGGATTCTGTCTCCGGTGCTAACATTCTTTTCTAACCCTCTGATGTCTTTCCCTCCGAAGACAAAGAGAGATGCAGCCTGTCGTTTGCAAGGGGCACCCCTTAGCAGGAGAAGCTTGACTTTGACTACTTATAGCCCCGGAACTGCAATAGCAATCCTATGTTTTGGGTCCCTGTTTGCTGTGACCAAAATCAATGCGGGGAGGAAAGGGTGTTTATTTCTGCTTAGGGGTTACAAGCTGACTCACTTAGCTACCTGCCTACCTAAGTCAGCCCAAACCTACCCACTCAGGGATGGTAGGTCCCACGGAGGGCTAGGCCCTCCTACATCTAACAGCAGTCAAGAAAATGCCCCACTGGCCAATCTGAAAGAAACAATTCTTCTGTTGTTCCTTCTTCCCAGGTGTGGCAGGCTGCTAAGATTAGCTGTCACAATACCCAAGGAAGAATGGAGCCTCAGATATCACTCTCTTTCCTTCTAGTCAGTCGAGTGCCGAGCTCCTAGGGCCTTGATGAAAATGTGCGCTCCCTGATTGCATGCCCTCTCTGGTTTCCACGCTCTAGATCTGGGCTGTCCCTTTTAGTCCTGTGGCACAGTCCTTTTCATAGAAGCAGGGCAGGAATCTCAGCTGCTTAAATACGAAGCCCCCCAGAGTTTACATTCTTCACTTGGTCCTAAAGTCCATCAGAACCGTTCTAGAAATGGAGGTGCTGTCTCCAGAAGAGCACCAGCGTTCCTCCGTTACCATGGAGCATGGTAGAGACCCGGGGTACCTCCAGGGCAGCCTCTTAATAGCATCACCTCAAACGTTGTCCCTCAGAGGCTGGCTAGTGATCAGGTACTTCTTTGCTGCTCAATACCATCCCACACTGCTCACCAAAGTGCTCTTCCCACAAAAGCATTGCAGTCTGTGAAAGAGGGTGGGGCAGATACCAAAATCCAGCCCATCACTTGCCGTACACCAACAGGCCCTAGCTATGTTCACCTGGATCAGGGAGGATCTGTGTCCTCGCAGTCCTGTCCTTGTCAAAAGACATTTTTCTGATTTCCACAGGAGTTCTGCCCTTTAGTATCCCTCAGAAATAATGCCGCGTTCAGTATCCCTTAGGAATGGTGCAGGAGATACTGTTTTGGATGATCTACACTTCCATTTGACCCGAGTTTCCAGACAGGAAGTTAACCGCGTCACTGTCCTGCAGTCCTTTCGGCTGCCTTCCAGCGAAGGTATTGGTAAGGTATTTCCCAGTGTGGCTATTATTGAAAATTCACATGCATTTTTGTGTACCTAACTCTGCAAGTTATTAGGAGTGTGACATGGTCCTAAAAAGTGAAGTCCTCTTTCAGGTCAAATCACTAGCAGCTTCCTCACTTTCTTTATACAGTCATATAAAGATCTGGAAAATTTTGGACCTAATGATTTCATAAAATTAAGAATATTTTTAAATGAGAGCTACCCTATGAGTGAACTTGCAGAATGTAGGAATGTAGTGACATTTCATTTATATTTTAATAAATAAAGCTTGCCTGAAGATCAGAGAGTACAACGGCCCCACTGGTCAACTTTACAGACTAGGCAGTGTTGACACGCACCTTTAGTCCCAGTAGCCACACTAGTTTGCCATAGAAACTGGGTGGTGTATGCCTTTAATCCCAGTGGTGCACACCTTTATTCCTAGCCCAAGAGAGGAATATAAGACAGGAGGAGACAGCTCTCAGATTCTGAGATTCTTGGAGGCAGAATCGCCATTTTTGGACTAAGGTAGAGGTAAGAGCCAGTGGCTGGCTATTTTGATTTTCAGGTTGAACTCCAATTTCTGTCTCTGGGTTTTTATTAATTGGACTACATAGGATCTTCACAAGTGACTCTGAATTAGTGAAATTTCCCTGAGGAGTGCTGCCCATATGTCATAAACAGATGGAGTGATCATCTATCCAGTGAAAGGATTTTCATAATTTTCTCTGTTTCAAACCCTTCCTGGACACAGATGCAAAGTGAAGGCCTGTCATCCATGCTGAATCCCTAGACTGACCATTCCATGCACTGTAACACTCTGATGAAGTCTCAGTTGTCTTGGAAGGATACGAGTAATATGTGGATATCTAGGTCTACACCCCATTCTGTCCCTGCTGAATTAAACACTGAAGGACAGCATAGGGTTGAATTCAATCCAGATAACAATGTGAGCAGAGGAAGCCAATCATAGAACTTTACTGCATTTCTAATGAAGTCCCCAAGTTAGACGTGTTTGTGATTGGAAGAGAAGAGTCTTTTCCTTGTTGTTAGAGGAGAAAATTCAGGTTAGATTCCACATGTAAAATGAACTTTGCTTATTTATAGAGATCAATTATATCATCTAGTCATCTGTTATTTTAAATTAAGAACTGAGAACTTAAAACAATGAAAACTATCAGTTCAAAATTACTGGCTACAAAGTTAGATCTGTAGGAGAATAAGGAAGATCATGAGAAGAAGGATAAGATAATGAAGCTATTATCTTCAACACTGGTTTCCTAATGCCAAGAAAGATTAACAGAAACATACGCACATGCACATACACATGCATGTGCACACACGGATGCGCACACACACATACACACATGTGTAAGCATGCATACAGAGACCATATGAAAGCATGCAGAAAAACTCAGAACTAGGCACGCCTTACTAAATGGTTCCCTTGTATGCACTCATAAGCCATCACCCTACAAACAATGATTGCATCAGAATTGCCGGTCACAAAAGGCCATCTTTTAAGGAAAGGATTCCAACACTTTTAGAAAGACCAAACTTCGAGGTCTTCTGTGATTCAATCAACACAATGTAACTCAATCAACTATCAAGCAAGGGACCTCTGCTAGTTGGGGTTTGCTGTTTTCACACCTTCGGCCTCTGCATTGGAGCTCGAATCCGTAAATTACCTTTCCTAAGTTCTCTTGTTAGCTTGTTTTTTTTTCCCCCCCAGGTTCTATCAAAGGAAGGAAATAGATTAGAGAGGGGAATAAAAAAAAAGACACTTCTTTCTTTCAGTTAGGTCTGCCGAGGGCCGGACGCTGCAGTTCACTCTTCTCTGGTGCTGAAGTGGTTCTGATCAGTTAGGTGGGGTGGGAACACCCCAGGAGCACCTGCAGTTACCTGAGCAATTTCAAAGGGATGGAAGGTTGCCAGGCTCTTGTAGAATCAGGGAGAGTTTGGACTTTGGTTTTCTTACATCCTAGCCACAGTAGTAAGTGTGATAAGGAGTAGTAAACAGTAATTCTGTCTGCTTAAAATATTTAACGTAGTTCCTGTTTGTCCTCCTTGACACCCTCTAACTTGAATATAAGCAATAGAAAATAACAAAAATTATATTTAGGCTGTCCGTGGATTTTATATATTTGAAAAATAAAGCATAGAATATGAATGGCTAGATAGTAAATGTTTCAAGCGAGGAACAAAAAAAATACCCCCCCTCACAAAGTAAGTCGCAAAGAATTAATGATAAAAATGACCAGCTAGATTTGGAAATAAAAGTCTAAGTTTTAGAAATGAAAAATAAATTGGTAAAATAAAAATCATGGATAGGTTAAATATGTAGCTAGAATTAGTGAACTGGAAGAAATCTCCATGAACATAAACACAGGCAAGCAAG